AGCGGAAGCTGATTACGCGTTGACCAAGCATACTCGTATTACGTAGTTCAAACCAGCTGAATGCTGATTGGCTAGCATTTTTCCGTAAGGGAATGGATTCCTCGGTAATGGAATGACAAAGTGCACTGGCGGATCCAGGGGGGGGGCATTAGGGGCATATGCCCCCCCCGACAGGAGCCTGGGGAGGGCATTCAGTACAAGTATGCCCCCCCCCCGTTCAGACTTACTCTTCTTACGCCTATAACGAGGAACTAAATAAAAATGGATTAGAAATCCTTCCTAGTAACTACTTTTGTGATTAGAGTCGTTTTAGTAGCCTCAATTTAGTTGTCATTGCTTTATTTTGTAAGTATGTTGCTTCTTAGTTCTTACCACAGGGGAGTCATGCCGCTTCAACACTTTTGACCGTATTGTCTAACGATGGCACTCATATTGCGCAAACCAGGTATCGGCCGCCGCCTATGCTTGAGAATAGGGACGGTTAGAATATGATTTACCTTTATCAGTATGGCCGCAGCCAGTGCAGCGTAACCGGGGGGGGGGGGGCACAAGGGGCGCGTGCCGCCTCATTAGATGCATGGTGCCCTATGGGCCCGAGAGGCCCTGCAGTGCCAATTGGCCGCTCAGGGTCCAAGCATGCCTTATTTCGACTGAGATAAGACCCGCAGGACTCGTGAGAGCACCTCACGGAGTCACGGCCTCCTGAGTCGCCACACATCACACATCTCCATAAGGGCCCCACTCCGGCTTCTGAGGGCCCTGTGCTGACCTCTGAGTGACCTTGCTGACCCATTAAGCGTCAGCTCAGCTTTAATTAGGGTCCTGACCCATACCCGCATGGAACGGCTCCACACCAGTGCCTCTGAGGGCCCATAACGGCGCCTGTGACTTGTGAGGGTCTCACACTGGCGCCTTTGAGGGCCCAACACCGCCAATCTGAGGGACTAACACCAATATTTCTTAAGGCCCTACATCGGCGGCCGCTCTGAGGGCCCCACACTGGCGCCTCTGAAGGTCTTACACAGGCGCATCTGACGGCTACCTACCTGCAACTCTGTGGGCCCCACACTGGTGACTCTGAGGGCTCCCAGTGACGCCTGAGAGTACCACGCCGGTCTCCTGGATCCCACAGGGCTCCTGAAGGCCTCTGCTGGCCCTTGCTGGTCTCTTGAAGACCCCTTGCCCCCATGCATGTGTCTCTGAGGAGTGAGGACTCCCACAACGATGCCTTTGAAAGTCTTCACCGGCGACTGAGAGGGCACCACACAGACACGTCTGAGGGCCCTACACCGCCACCTCTGACACACCAGTGTCTCCTGAGGTCCCACATAGGCGACTCTGAGGGTCCCACACTGGCGCCTCTGGGGCCCCACACCAATGCCTCTGGCAGTCAGCCACCGGTAACTCTGTATGTCCTACACCGGTGACTCTGAGGGCCCCACCGGCGTCTGAGAGTACCATGCCGATCTCTAAGGACTCCACAGGGCTCCTGAAGATACTGCCGGCCCTCACTTGCCGGCCTGTGAAGGCCCATTGTTGGCATCATACGGCCCGTTACCGGCCTCTGAGGGCCCTTTGTCGGTCTCTGAGAGGTCCTACTGGGTTATTAAGCATTCGCATTTCGCACCAACCACTCCAAGGGCCCCACACACAGCCATCTGTGAATGGTGTGGGCTTAGCGCCACACCAGTGTCTGAGGCACCACAACGGCGTCCATGTGAGGGCCTCACACCAGCACCTTAGAGGGCCCACACCGGCTCCTTTGTGGTTCTTGCACCAGTGCCTCTGAGGGCCCCACACCACTGCCTCTGGGGAACCCACACCGATACCTTTGATGGTCCCTCGCCAGTACCTCTTAAGGTTCCACACCGGCGACCCTGGGTCGGCTCTTTACCTACACCAGTCATTCTGAGGGCCCCACCGGCCCCACCAATTTTCGTCGATTTCTGGCGCTGCCCGGGTGTTTGTCCCAAAAGCCTCCTCCTCCTGGATCTGCCAATGGGGGTCAGGTGTCCTACCATTTCTGTTTTTTTTTTTAAGAAAAAAAAAAACTCGTGTCAGGGCTGTGACGAAAAATAAGTGGCCTAAATCCGATGAGAAAACAGGATTTGGGGGTACCCTAGGTTTGGCTCCGTGACCTGGTATGCCCCCCCCGCGCTGACACCCTGGATCCGCCAGTGACAAAGTGTAGTCTATATATGGGAATGACTTCAGACTTCAAACCTAAAATCAATACCGATATCTTTGGCGGGTGATCGTTGGGCCATAAAAGCTCTTGATTTTTTAATTCTTGTCTCAGCTCAAGCTACAAAACTGTTACTTCAGTTTAAAACCCTTTGTTAAAAGTGGCATATTTGCTTTAAAGGGACCCTCCCACCTTCAAAAAAGTTAATGAATTGGCATGAAAGCGATGTCGCTCGGTTCAGGAAGAGCGAAAACGAATATTTACCAAATTTCATCGAAAAATATTCACCGGTTTTCAAGATATTAGACTTTTACTATTGTTTACTTTCTGGGATCTCCGCTGTTCCTAGCGACTTTATTTGAAAGTGCGGCATTTGTTGCGCGCAAAGCAGCATATACTACCGCGTGCTACCAAACGTTTTAGTAAAAGATTTAAAAATCGTTACACCTCCGCTGACGTCACAAATTCTAAGGGGGCATACCAATGCATTAGCCCCTTAGAATCCGAAAACTGCAAGTTTGAAATTCCATATCTCCGAATTAAAGCATTTTTCGATGTTGTGAGTGCCCAAACCGGTATTTTCAGGCCATGGCCACCAATTTGGCTATCTCAACTCAAAACTAATGTTAAGGTGGGAGGGTCCCTTTAAACGTTCAATACATCGGACCGAAAAAGCCACGGGTCGGTACGAATGTCTATTTTTGGGTTTTCAGTCGGTCAGTCCGTCCCCCCCAGTCAAAAATCCGTGGCGGCGCCCCTGTCAACGTGTGACAACTCAGCCGGTATTTCGTCGCTTACAGCCCAGCTTTCCCTAGTGACCGATAGAGGCGCTGCTATCGATGTCCACCCGTGCCGCCTAACGCGCAACCGCGCGTGACCTTGAAAGACAGAGTCAAGACATTCTTGCTTGTGTACACTTTCTGAAATGAATGGTTGCTGATTAGTGATATCCCAAACTCTGCGAGAATGGAAATGCATAGTCATCGTAGTCAAGCATTCACGTTCCATTGTAAAAGTGTCTCAGGCAAACGGTATTTTGCGGTGAATTTTGAGCCGTGTGGAAATGCATCATGAAATAAATTCAACGAAAACATTATCACGCAACGATATCTTCACGTCTTTTGATCTTCACTATACGAAAGAACATACATTTTTGAGTATGTATGGGGAATTTCTAGGTAATCCGATAATAAATATGGCAGTTAGAGTCCTGCTAAGAGTAACATGTCGCCGGCTGAGGCGGGATCGGCCGACGCGGGAAACGCAGCAGTCACAATTTTGTGTTTACACGTTCATATTTCAATTGTTTACCAACCTATTTTCAGAATTCTTTCACCATAAGATTGCCTGTACATTTCTTAGTCTTCTCACAAAATTTGACGCGAATCGAACGTAATCAGCGGTAAGGAGCGCGATGTAAAGACGGAACCGTTCCGTTCCTTCCGTCCCGGCACAGTCTACAATTCAGGTGGCGCGTAGCGGTCGGCGCCGGCTGCCGAGTCGCCGCGTCGCCGCGGCGACAGGATGTTCACTTTACACCGCTATTACTAGAACAGTTGTGAACCGATTTTCTTATTGCTTGCACGATGAGATGTGCAATTCAATTCTGGACAGGTAGCCATAAGTAATTTCGCATCAATATTATGAGATATTGGCGAAAAACAGGAGGGGTGGGGCGAAATTCACTCTTCCCCCTCCACTGCGCGTGCTAACATACGTTTGCATATGTGCCATTTTCTTCAAAACTTATGAATGGCCCACTCTATTTTTTTCACAGGTTGTTAAGAATATGGTAGGCAATAAAATATATGAAAATGAGCCAAATCGAAGGTGGCGTGTTTTTTGCTATTTCAATTTTTGTGCTTAAGAACAGAGTTAAGCAAATTTCAAGGTCATATATTTAAGTCGATGGAATTCTAAACAAATGCTTAAGAAATTACCTAAACAGTAAGGTTTATTTCATTCAAATCAAACAAGTACAACCAAAGTTATGGTCGTTCAAAAATATAAAGATGCAACATTTTGTAAAAATGTGATGCCCTATATTTAGAAGACCTGTGGTCAGAATGTGCAAAAAACATCAATGTAATGTCCGGGGCGACACAGGAACTCGCTCACAAATTTATAATGAAATCGCTGATGGTAAGGTGCAAAACAGCCGATTTTTGTTCGATTTGACGTGGAATGCCCCAGCTGTTTTCGACATAAAATGGCGCAGATAAATACTACTTTACTGCTGCATTTGCCGTTGGTGGAAGTCGCTGGCTATTTTTCTGGCTGATTTTTTTTTTTCACGCCGGCGGATATTTTTCGCCTGGCTGGGGAAACTCGTCGGCGATTTTTTGACAGAAAAATTCCGGCAGGCGGCTATTTTTCTGTCGGTAAAACTTGCCTCTGGACTGTGTTTTTGCATTTTATTGCACGGAGATTTCCTGGATGTGTTTTGTGTATTACTCCGAGAAATAGCGTTGATGTGTTCTCTGGCTAGTTGGCGGGGTGGCGCACTGTTGTCTTCCCCTGCGTTCGGCATCCGGAAAATGAGGGATAACTATTCGGGATCACCGGTTATGATGTGGTATTGGAGGGACCATCGATGCAATTAAGTCACATCTCTAGATTGTTTTTGCTTCACTAATCGCTCTTTTACTTGTTGTCATGTACATTGTTCACGATGTGAGCTTAAAATACCGAATGATCCTGGTGATGCCTGAAAATTATCCCTGATTATCCGGATGCCGAATACACGCTTCATGTGTCAGGGTGCAGGTGTCAGCCGGATGCAGCTAATGTGAGCGGTCTGTACGGCGGCCGGCAGTTTGTCGGAGCTGGCGGCGCTCGAGTACCGGCCAGTGCGCGTGCGCGGCAGCTACGACCACAGCCGGGAGATGTACATCGGACCGCGCTCGCTGATCGTGTCTGGCGGCGACGAGGAGCTGGGCCGCAGCGGCCTGCTGTCGGCCGGACGCAGCGGCGTCCAGGTGGTCACTCCGTTTCGTGTGGCCGGCTCAGAGTGAGTGCCAAGTACCGGCGCACACTGGGTCTAGCGCCACAGGGCCGGGTGCCGCCCTCCCCCCTAGTTTTTTTCGCGATAGTTCAAAACACGCTTGCGATAGAGAGCTAAAATTTGGCATACCTGACTTTTGATTCAAGCCGCATCTTTTGACACCAACCTCATTTTCAGGTCAGGTTAGGTCACTAACCTATTACGTCATACGTGAACCTTACCTCTGCACGGTCTTCAGATGTCGCAACTTCGTAACACGCTCAGTGCCAAAGGAGCTTTCACATCGAGATAAAACTTAACCCGCGCCCTGCGGGGCGGGGGGGGGTGTTTGAACACCCCCCTTGTGGTTTTTCGCGAATATCTCAAAAACGTTTTCATCGCTCTAGCATGCCTCTATCAAAAGTTATTTGCGAAAAACTGTTAGATACCATTCGTGACCCAAGATGACCTCAGGGCATAAACAGGGGTCACGGACACCATTTTCATGTTCAGTGTGTCTAAACCACTTGTAATTCAGTGTTTGGGAGTGTTTATAATGTCTTTCGTCCAAAAGAGGCGCATTTCAATTTTCTCCCATTGACATAATGGGGAGGTCGCAAAATTGACCTGACCTTAGGTCATCGATATCAAAATTCTGAGATATACATTTTGTACATGCTATTGCTCTTAGCAATCGCTGAAAGTTTCAAAGCGATCGGTCACTCGGTGTAGCTATGACAGACATTGACACTTTTTATGAGGTGAGGTCACTTCAAGTGACCTGGTGACCTGACCTTGAATGACCTTGGTCTGAAATTTTCACAACATTTTCACAACTTAGCAATTTACATGCTATAGGAAATGTCAACCGTTTTGAAGGGAGAGTCCAAAAACAGTAAAATCCGTTTCAAATAGCACCACTTTACGGTACGCATGAACATACATCATGGCAGTCTTTGTATGACACTGGCCTAACAGCCAATGTTTTATTGGATGCCACAAAGAACCGCAATAAATAAATAAATAAATATAAATAAATAAATTACATTAATTTTGAGCAAAAAATAACATATGGGGGTGTACGACTTTGGTCGACCCCCGCTGCTGCACCGTCTGACGGACCGTTACGGTTCCGGCAGCACCGAGATCCTGGTGAACCGCGGCTGGGTGCCCACCAAGATGATGGCGCCCTCCACCCGGCAGCAGGGCCAGATCGAGGGCGAACACGACATTGTGGGCGTGGTGCGGCGCACCGAGACGCGCTCCCAGTTCATGCCGGCCAACTCCAGCACCACCAACAACATGTTCCTCTACAGGTGAGCACGCCGGCCGCCCGCAGCCAGCGGCCTTCTGTCGCTCACCGCCGCGCCCGGCGGCCGCCCCCAATGGATGCGCAAAACCTGACACTGTCGATTGATTGATCAGGCACCTTTAGGCGAATTAAAGGGTTACCTAGTGGTCGAAAGGATTAATGTGTCAATACTTATTCTAACTATCTAGCTATTCTATCCCGCACGGGACTGACCGTGGTCAGAGCTATGGCTTAGCGGTGCCATCTGGCCCTGCCCTTGTGGCTGCCTATATCGCCCACGTCCGGTCGGTGATTGAGTATGCCAGCGTCATATGGTCAGGGGCTGCTGTAACCCACATGGCCCGCCTAGAGCGTCTCAATCACCGCTTTCTTATGTGGCTAGCTGCAAAAACACAGGGTAGGTGTCCTTCTCTGGACTACCAATCCCTTTTAAATCACTTTAGGTGTCAGTCAACTAAGGCACGCATGACACAGGCCGATATAACTTTTATGCATTCTATCTTTAGCGGCCGGATTGACTGTCACGAGCTGGTGTCGAAATTCAGCCTTGTCACTCAGGTTAGGCGTTCTCGGCACACAGGCCTTTTTCATGTCCCATTTGGCAGAGTTAACGCTGTGAAGTGTAGCTTGTTTATTCGACTACCCAACCAACTAAACAAATTCTTACACGAGCATTCGGAGGCAGACTTCTTCCAGCCGTCATGTCATTGGAGAGCACTACTGCTCCGCTTTGCGAGTAGTCAGGACACTTTTAATGAGTGATATGGACTGTTGTCAGCCAGCACTCTTTGCTACTTACTTTCTGTGATCGCGTCTGGTGTATGTGTATGTACGCTGGGAGGGGGGTTGTATGTGTGTAGGCCGTAGGGGGAGGGAAGAGCGGGTTGAATGCCTGAGTGGGTGGGATGGGAAATTTTATTGCGACTGCAGCCAAAAGGCCGCCCCACACTGGACCTCGCATGCGGGTTGCGAGTTTGCGGGTTTTGAGTTTGCGGGCATAATACTAATTCATATAGTGATTAGACCGTTCCCTTATGGTAACTTCATGAATACAGTGAAGCCGGTGCACCTTCAGAAAATAACATATAGTCGCAATACCAGCGCAATGAACCAAAATTCGACTCCAACGAAAAACCCGCAAGCCTCGCAGAACTCGCAGACCTCGCCGCGAGGAAAATCAAAAGCTGACTTAAAACGAGCTTTTGGAATGCGATGTAAGGTGGCTCGCAAGCTAAAAACATGCAGACTCGCTTGTTACATGGTAGTGTGGGTCACTCAGCTTAGATTGTATGATTTGATTTTGAAGAAACCCGAAAAACCAAAAACTCGCAACCCGCATGCGAGGTCCAGTGTGGGGCAGCCTTTAACCCTATTCCTGGCGGGGGGGGGGGGGCCTCAGGAGCCCCCCCCCCCCCCCTGAGGTTTTTTGGTTATTTCTCCCAAACGCGTTGAGCTAGGAAGCTCAAATTTTCTGACTTTTCCTAAAAGGCTTCTACGCAACATGTCTGAAAATTTTGAGTTGATCTGACCTCAGGTCAGGTCACCAGAGGCGGTTTGGTGACCCTACCTCAGAAAAGTTTGCAATTACGCCAGAGCTAGAGTTTTTGACCGATCAATTTCTTCTCTTCAGGTTTTAGTTAGGGTACCAGTATGTGCAATTTGTATATCTCGGAATTTTGATATCGGTGACCTAAGGTCAGGTCAGTTTCGCGACCTCCCCATTATAAGTCAATGGGGGAAAAATCAACTCCCTGTTTTTACCACTAAAACGGCTCGGAATGGCCCCATATAACATACATGACTTCATATACGATCAACCTTCATTACCTTGAGGTCTGTTTTGCTGTTGGGCAGCTGTGAGGTCATGTGACGTCATCAAAGGTCACCAAAGGTTTTTGGCCAATAACTCCGTACAGGAACAAGATACAGACGCGTGGATGGTCTCATTGTGTTCAGCTCGTCAAGACGCATCGAATGATATACATGATGACCTCGAGGTCACGTGACCTGAGGTCAACCTTTGACCTTGACCTTTCGAGGTCAACATATATATCATTCGATGCGGATTGACGAGAGGATCACGATGCTGCCCTTAGTTTGTTCCTATCTTGACTAATTCGAAAGTTATTCGAGAAAAACTCTCCATATCCAGCGCCGCCATTTTGACTTTTTCGACCCCTGTGACGTCATCTTTGACCTGACCTGAAAATGACCTTGGTAAAAATTGTAGATCTTGACCGTGCGTATCCGATGCCGTTTACCGCTTGTCGCTATCTTGCTTCGTTCTCGAGATCTCAGGGGGGGGGCCGAATCGGCCCCCCCCCCGCCAGTTTCTTGTCCCGGCGGAGCCCGCCAGGAATAGGGTTAATGTGGGCCTCGGCCTGCGGTTGTTATGAAATAAATGAATAAATAAATAAATAAGTTATTAACGAAAAACAAATATGACCCTAATGACGTCATAAGTGACGTCACGCAAGGTCAACATTGAAAAAGTGACGTATGGAACCTTGCAAGGAGTGCATGAAATCATGGTGAGGTCACAAAAATGACCTGACCCCATTTTACCTTTAGGAAAAATCCAAGATACCGTAAAGTGGGGCTATTTGAAACGGATTTTACTGTTTTTGGACTCTCCCTTCAAAACGGTTGATATTTCCTATAGCATGTAAATTGGAAAAACGTAGTTCTCCGTAACCGCTTTCAGATAGGTCAATTTAGGTTCAGCTAGTAACCATACATAAATTTATTTTTTTAATTGAAGCCTGTTTCAAATAGCCCCATAATGTGGGGCTATTTGAGACAGTTTTAGTTGCAAGGAAATTGAAGAAAATTGGTCAAGCTAGGGATAATTCTTTTAAAGCCATGCGATTGGAAATTAAATTTTGATACTTCTGGCAAAAAGTATTTCTTTCAGCTACAGTTATATAACCCTTATAATCAAATTTTTCGTTTTTCGTTGGACATAGCATTTCCGTCTGCTAAAAATTGCATTACTTTATGCCAGACATGTGCATGGATCCGAGTGATGGATCTATGATCTCAGTGGATCTCGAAGCAAAGTACAGGTTGGGATCTATGAGATCCCACCGAATCCGGCGTGAAAAATACATCTTGGATCTATGATCTCATATGATCTGACGATAAATTAAGAACATGGATCTATGATCTAAGTGGATCCCACCATGCACCACATTTGAAACCATGTTTTAAAGGGTTTCTATGTCAATAAGTGACACAAAACTATGGATTATGACGTGCGATCACATAAAATCACTAAAACAGAACGTTTGTGAGTTGAAACAAGTGCTTTTTTGGGATATATGTATTGACAAAAAATAAGTGAGGATCTATGATCTCACTGGATCTCCAGCAAAAAATGAGACTCGGATCTGTGATCCCTATGGATCTCTCGAAAAATTACAGAGCTGGATCTATGATCCCGACGGATCCGAGATCAGGATCCGTGGGATCAGATCCCAGATCCATTTTCTCGGATCCATGCACATGTCTGCTTTATGCTAGGGCTGTCATAATATGATGTGGTCCTAAGCTCTAAAAATCACAGGATGATTATCTAGGACTATTTCTAAGTAAACGATAGTGAAATTTTCAAATAAAGTTGTTGTGTTTATATCTGGCGGCGTAAAACATATAGGCCGAAAGTTGGTGGGGCTATTTGAAACAGGCTCGCTACTGCATTAAACGCACCGTAATGCCTTAAAAAAGGGAAAGCAGTTTCCAAAATGGTTGAATGAATGATATGCATGATCGATTGCTCCATTGCACATCTACCTGTGAAGAAATAACAGAAAAAAGTCAAATGGTTTTGATTTTATACCGATTTTGCTAGATTACTGCATGTTGTATCGAATGGCCGGTTACCCCACTGCATCAAGTACGCGTACTGAAGGCTCACCTAACAGTAAGTATGTTAACCCGGCCGGGCCCGGGGGGCAATCCCAACCACCGCAGCCCGGGGAGGGGGCGTTTTTCGCCCCCCCCCCCCTGTCTAACTCCGTAAATAAGTGAGCTACGGAAACAAAAGCGATACCAAACGAAAGGTCCCTACGAGACGATTCTAAAGCACCTAAAATTTTTGACCTCAGGTCAATTTTCAAGGTCAGAGATCAAGGTCAAAGGCAAAAACCGGCACATGTGTAGTGATCTCAAAGTAAGCCTTCTAGAGGACGGCAGGCTGCATCAAACCGGTAAAATTGGGTGTCAAACGAAAGAAGAGAATTTGAGGATTCCGAAACTGTGCTCAAAATCAAAGGTCAAGGTCAAGGTCACGCTAAAAATTGACCTCAAACTTGGCACTTTTTCGCACATCTTGCGTGCTAACTTCCAAGATGTTTTGAAATGTTTTGAGGCTTATCAGTTCCCTATTTGTGGTCCATCTTACGATACAAGGCTGCTGAAAGGTCAAGGTCACAGAAGAGTATCCCTGCTAGAGGCTATTTCACTAATTCAAGTTAGTTATAATAAATAAGACAATTTTGCCATCCGGAAGCTCTAAATGAAGGCTAAGAGGAAAATAGATGCCAGATTCGTGATCAGCGGATACAAATCCATCATAAACGACCTTTCATGTGTCAAGGTCAACCAGAGGTCATTCGAGGTCACATGAGGTCAACATAAAATTTGACCTTTTCCGAACAAAATATATATCATTCGACGCGGCTTGACAAGGCGAATGCGATGGTACCACTGCCGTAGCTCTAGGACCATTTTTGTCGAAGTTATTTGCGAAAAACTAAAATCACATTTCGGGGTCGTTGACCTGACCTCTGACCTCAGGTCACCAAAACTATTTTTCTATTTTTCTCTAGGTCAAACGCTACACAACCGTGCTCGTAATTTGTCTTTATCTCTAAAACTCTTTTTTTAGTAGCTATTTGAAGTTTGCGTCTGTGACGCCGAAGTTTGCCGTGCAGGGGTCTAGAAAAATGGACCTTGTTTTACTTCAGAAGATGTCAAATTGATGGGAGAAAAGGTACTGAAAGTTTCGCTTTCCTATCCCTAAGCGTTCGGGAGCTATCGCAAATATTCGCCAGGGGGGGGGGGCGAAAAACGCCCCCTTCCCCGGGCCCGCGAGGGTTAAATAAGCTTGAATGGTGCTTATGGTCATTGATCAACCAGAGTAGACATGGGTCGCTTACCGACCACGTCAGTGACTGATGAAACACATTTTATGCACATTGCACATATTCATGATAAAGGTGACTAATATCGTCTAATGGTCGTATTAAGTTACAATGTGTAAATATTGCTTGCTGCTAAAAGTACCATGAACCCATGGCCGATTCATCGGTGTTCCTGAGGTCGAACATTTGATACACCTTAGGCAAATGGCGTTAAGTCTTTAGGATGCATCATATCACCTGTTTTAGGGCCTTGGGATCACAATCATCAGCTGTATTTGGTATACGTTGAGGTTTGACGAGGTGGGTATCATCGGGATACTGAGACATCGGGTTACACAATTGTCACTACCGCTAACAATATATAATGTATTCATGTAAAATGTGCTTAGCCCATAAGTAAAACGATAGTAACGATAGATTCGGTTGCAAAGTTTTTAAAACTTTAACCATGTTAAGCTGCAGGTAGGGGTGCTTTTCGTATAACTTAAATTGTGGTTTTTCTGTATTTCTCATTTAATGCCAAATTTCTTTCAAAAATTTTCAAAATTTTCAAAAAACCCTATCCATGGAATTCATTGTTAAATTCCACATCAGCTTGAGCAAAAGTTGATCAAAAATATCAAACGGTTTTAATTTTACAGCAATTTTACTAAGCCACTGCCGTACTGTCTCAAATAGCCCCACTGTCTCAAATAGCCCCACTTTACGGTATACAAGTTGTGAGACTCATAATGGATATTAGGTCCTGCAAGTTTCATTTGCCTGTGATAGCTCCTCTGGCAGTGAGAGCGTTGCGAAGTTGCGACATCTGAAGACCGTGCAGAGGTTCACTTATGACGTCATAAGTCAGTGACCTGACCTGACCCGAAAATGCGGTTAGTGTCAGAAGATTCGGCTTGAATCAAAGGTCAGGTATGCCAAGGCTCACCTCTCTATCGCCAGCGTGCTCGGAGCTATTGCGGAAGAAAACTCCATGGGGGACGGCACCAGCCCCCCCCCCCCTCCCCTCGGCCGGCGAGGGTTAAGTGATATGACAGTGCTGCTGCACGGTTCTCTCATCTCTGAAGTAATTTGATTGGATTTAGATTAGACCTGTTCCCTAAGTAGGCATGTGTCCTTTGCCCGGATATGGGAAAGATGCTCTTGGCACCACCTCTGAGTTCTGGGGGACCTATGAGCAGGAGCAAGGTCCTGCATGAAATGCTGTCTGACCTCCGGGGCACCATGCGCCGCTTCAGAAGGTAGTGGTCGTCTTGTTGATGGCTGGGAGGCAGGATTTCTTCAGGATGTTCTCTTTGCAGTGATCGGCTCGGCTCGACCATCATTTTAAGTGGAAACACGTCCAGCTAGCCCAGGCCCTGGTGCAAATTGAATCTTACTTTCGCTTACTTTCGTACGACACCCTACTCGCAGTTTCTTAACCGTGTACCAAATCTGCAATCGGCCCAGCCGCTCGCGAGATCTGGAAACGGCCCCTGCGCAGTAGCACCCTAGCCGTGACATATGGATATACATACATTGCCCGGTGGGTGCCTACATGCACGCCCAGTTTCGGCGCAATGGCCCCAGTGATTGCCGAGTAATTGTAATGGGAACAAAGCTGACACCTCTTCTCTTTGCATTTTGCATGTGCAGCGGGGATCACTCACGTGCATCGAGGTATCTGGTGTTTGTAAAAAGGATGCAGCTGCCCTACAAAAGTTACCTCAGGTCAATCGCCTCAGGGGCTGCTGAGATATGGATGGGCCTCTCAAAAGTGCTAGCTATGCAAAACAGCTTGAACGCCCAAGGCTTTTCACGTGGCACGTGCCACGACGGTCACCTAAATGCATCAAGAGTAGTCAGTTGCGGTGTAGAAAGGATGGGACTTCCAAAAAAAAAAGACTGCAGATCAATCGGTCCAGCCGGCGGTTGCTGTGATATAAGCTTCGCAAAGCGGCTGGGGTCGCGCCGGATTTTCCCGCTATATTGAAAACAAAACTCGCTTCGGGCTCGCTCGTAACTGCAGCACATCTCGGTGGAGCGGTCAAGCAAACCTATTCAGTTTTGCTGAGTTTCGAGTCCTGTGGGTATAGCAGGCGATGAGCCCGCTGATGGGCCGCGAGACGCTGTCGCAGCTCCTGCCCATCGGCGATTGTCACTGCCGGATAGTGATTTTACCCAAAACACCCATTTTCTTTGTGTAAGTGCGGCGATGGCTGTTGTTAGTTTGTCGATGGTGACACCGTCGCGGTGTGCTGGCGTCCCGCTGCTGACCGGTGTGGCTGTCTGTCTGCTCCCAGGGACATTGGCCGGCTGGCGGGAGCAGCCGGCACCGCGCCCGTGTTCCTCGACCTGGCCGAGGGCAGCGCGCCGGCCGGCGCTCCGGCCGCCGGCCAGACGCGCGTCACACTGCGCAACGAGCACGTCTCCTACATCGCTACCTGGTACTGTCTGAGCGCCTTTACGGCCGTCATGTGGTGGCGCCGCTTCGTCTCGCTGCCGCGAATCCGCTCCGAGGCGCTCCGGAGCGTCCGCTAGCCGGCGCACGGCTCGCTGGGTTTTGCTGCCGTCTGCAGAGTGACCAACTGCGGCGCAGCACTGGCAGTTGGTCGGAGCGTCCGCTAGACGGCGCACGGCTCGCTGGGTTTTGCTGCCGTCTGCAGAGTGACCAACTGCTGCGCAGCACTGGCAGTTGGTCGGAGCGTCCGCTAGACGGCGCACGGCTCGCTGGGTTTTGCTGCCGTCTGCAGAGCGACCAACTGCTGCGCAGCACTGGCAGTTGGTCGGAGCGTCCGCTAGACGGCGCACGGCTCGCTGGGTTTTGCTGCCGTCTGCAGAGTGACCAACTGCGGCGCAGCACTAGCAGTCGGTGTCAGTTTTTTTTTGTGCACCTGTGCTGCCGATTATCTGATAGTGAATATACAGACCATTGTCCATTCGTATGGCCATATTGGATATTTCCAAGCCTTGCACTGTTTTGGTGATGAGCTCTCCACAAGAATGGCGATAAAAAGTGGCCCTGGAAGGCAATTTTTGATGTGAGCTAACCAACGTTTCGCGTTACTTGCACCTCAATGTCTCAACACGCGCAGTGGAATGGGGGGGGGGGTCGAATTTCGCCCAGCCCTCCTGTTTTTCGTCAATAACTCGCGTTGAAAACATAATATTAATGTGAAATTTTGGCTACCTGTCAATAATTGAATGGCGGATCTTCTCGTGCAAGAAATAAGAAAATCGGCTCACAACTGTAACGTAAACAACTGGCGAAGTATGTAATATGTTGTAGTCTTTCCTGCTAGGCTGAAACCCACCAAAGATTGTTTTTGCGTATATGTAAATGTGGTAGCTACTGCCTATGTCTTACTCAGTGATAGGGTGTGTAATAAGCGGCAAGGGAACAACGCAGACACCCTGAGATAGCGTGGTGGCTCGGGACAGGCGGTAGAGATAAAAGAGGAGGGGAGGGATACTGATAAGGCACCTTATCGCTCTAGGGGACGACGCGGCGCGCGGCCAACGCGCGCGGCGGCTCGGGATGAAAGGGAGGGAGAGAGGGAAGGAGTAGGTAGAGAGTGAGACGAGTGGTGCATGTGTTGTTGGGACGGTTTTGACGAACTGACGCTAAAGGGGGGGAGGGGAGCGGGGGAAGAAATGGCCTGTGGATCTTCTCTGTGTGGGGACAGCGAGGACAGTCCAGTGAGAGGCTCAAAGTGCTAACAAGAAGTTGTAGTGCCACGTGACTCAGACCTCCAACCGTGCTACCAGTCGAGGCGCCAGAGGACACAGGACACAGGGCAGGTGAGGATGGAGCTACTGGGAGGCAGTTGCAAACAGTAAACACCTACCACTTACCTACTGGATATTGCATCTCAAGGTGTCCAATCCTGCCTGTTCATGTGTATGCCTGATAAACAACGATAGCTGCAGAACGATAAGGTGGCGGTCTATAGGTCCTTGGTCTGCATGTCAAATTGACAAATTTTCGTGAGAAATAACTCCCGACCAATGTCATACAGTTCACATATCGATTAGCATGCAGCCTGAAACACATTTCGCACAAGTTGCTCTCGCAAACAGCTAAACGTCGTACCAATGCCGTAAAAAAGCGCTGCTGAAGAGCAGCGCTATTTCTGATGCGTTATTTTTCACGAACAACGCAAAGTCTTACGTCACCAGAGGCGTCTTTCTCTTTATGATACGGAAACGTGTCCTTTTGGGTGGGGGTAGCGTCAATCTGGCTTCGTTCTTTGAACGGGTTTCGTCTTCCGTCTTCGTCCTTTTATGATAACCAAAGTCCGTCTAATCTCAGAAATGACGGAGCGTCCCTCCGTTCTTTTCTTTATAAGAGTGGCCAGTGGCCATTCTTATAAAATTCTCATTCTCACAAAACATAGCTGAATAATTCAGCTATGGGGAGGGCAAATACCCACTATGCCCTTCACTGGATCCGCCATTGCATGACGTGAAATAGTAGAATGTATCCCAAAACTTCTTACCAGTTCCTATTGTATGGTGCGCAGTGGCGTAGCCAGAAATCAGCGAAAGGGGGGCCATGGTGCTCGAGGGGGCGACTTTTTCCCTCGAGAGGGGCGCCATTGTCAGCTAGTGATAGGGGCGTTAGTATAAACTGTAACGTCATGTTCATGCATGATTTACTAGGTGTTGCAAAATACGAGCATAAAAGCCAGGTTTCGCTGATATTTCATAAAATCCAATTAATGCAATTTGCAACCCGGTGTTTTTTATCAAAAACCCTTGATCTTATATTTAGCACGATAAAGGAAACGAGCTCAGGCTACAGACATTCTATTCTCAAAATACGCATCCATGCGAATTCGAAACGGTAAGATATACGTTGATCGATAGGCATAAATAATCCTTAGGTATTCTTTGGGAAAAATATACAGGTTCACTCACTGATCCAATGTGACCTGTGGGTGCTTGTGGTCGACTGGGGTGGCCGTGCTTAGAATCTCAGACCGCACGTATGTAGGATTGACGCTGCGACTAATTGCCTAAATTGGAATCCAGGAAAGACTTGAATATTTAAGACCATGAGATCCACCCATGAGATCCCAACTCATTGTCATACCAGCAGCGATTGCAGTCAGAGGCAACTGAACGCTGACATATGTTCTGGATGTTTTTTTTCAACAAATCACCTTTACAATTCGATGTCTAATGCGCGCAGCCCCTACCTACTTATGGAAATGCATGACTGCATGAGTGCCAGATGGGTGAGGCGTTAGGCTGTCCCATATAGTGGCAAGAAGGATAAAGGATGTCTTCGGCCGACGTAGTATAGAATATGACCTTTGATGATGTGATTGTGCATGATCGACTTTGAATAAGCGCCATAGAGTCCTGCTGAGTGCTGATCTCACCGAACATTCGCCTTGCGTAATCCCAACACAAAATATCTACATTGAGGGCCAGGTCAATTTTTGATCTCTCCATTACATATAAGTTAACCCGCGCACCGACGGGGGTCTGCGCCAACTTAGAACCGACGGGGGGGGCGGATGACCGCCCCCCCCCCTGAGATCTCGAGAACGAAGCAAGATAGCGACAAGCGGTAAACGGCATGGGTTATGCACGGACAAGGTCTACAATTTCTACGAAGGTCATTTTTAGGTCAGTTCAAAGATGACGTCACAGGGGTCAAAAAAGTCAAAATGGCGGCGCTAGATATGGAGAGTTTTTCTCGAATAACTTTCGAATTGGTCAAACAAGGAACAAACTAAGGGCACCATCGTGATCCTCTCGTCAATCCGCATCGAGCCATATATATGTTGACCTCGAAAGGTCAAGGTCAAAGGTTGACCTCAGGTCATGTGACCTCGAGGTAATCATGCATATCATTCGATGCGCCTTGACGAGCTGAACACAATGAGACCATCCGCGCGGCTGTATCTTGTTCCTGTAAGGAGTTATTGGCAAAAAAAACCTTTGGTGACCTTTGATGATGTCACATGACCTTACAGCTGGCCAACAGCAAAACAGGCCTTAAAGGTAGTGTGCCACCTTTGAAAGATTTCCCATTTTATTTTCCTAGGATAAGAAGCTTCTGTTTTTACCTAATATCGCAAAAAAAAATCAAAAATGGGCCTGGAATAGTGCCTTTTTCGCCTAAAAGTTTATCGGTTTTTCGATATGTATAACAATTGTAGTGGGCTGACCTGTAAACAGGCGTCGGCAACAATCGCGAGTGCGGCGCACATGTGACAATAAGCAAAGGTCATTATAGGGTCACGACGTACGGGAATGAGTTATCAGCTGTCTAATCGTAGACAACACAATGTCGAGCCTTAAACTGTAAGCCTGTATTGGTACCTATTGTTTCTTTTATTTGGTTGTCGAACATTATTTATGGTTTGAAATATGATTTTATGTAAAATAATTGATATGAAAAAGCCGTCTCTTAAGTTATGACCCCATTTCACCACACGCGTGAAATGGGGTCATGCGTCAGCTGACAATGATCAGCTGACGCATTTTTCTTGGCCGAAGTCAGAGCGCGCGGCCCGACGCACCACCACCGCACCACAAAGTATGAGCAGAAGCCGCGCCCAAAGCCAGGGCCCCGGTAACGTGAGGTAGCCGAGTCGGGGCAGCGTGCGCTGACCCAAGCCGGGGCCGCAGCTTTGGGCGCAGTCTACCGCATCCCCGCGGGCAGCCCCGGGCTATCACATGACACCGGGAGGACGCGCGGCCCCGGCTTGGGTCAGCGCACGCTGCCCCGACTCGGCTACCTCACGTTACCGGGGCCAGGCTCATGTCGTCCCCTATCTCCCTGTGTGTCCAAGTGCACAGATGACGTCACACGAAGGGGCGGAGTCGGGGGCGGAGCCTAGCGCAACGGCCGCCATATTTGAATTTGTTTTATAAGAATGTTATCTATATTTTGGTTTTCAGTCAATTGTTATCGATAGTTTTATGAACGTTTAGCTGTAATATAAGTGATTTTTAAAGAAAAAACACATATTCTGCTTGCAATTTCGATTTGAGTCCGACCCGCGCCTAGATTCGAGCGCACGACCTTTGGCTCACGGTGCAAGCATCCTAACCACTACCCTACCGCGGGCGCAGCGGCCGGCGGAAGGGAGGCTGCGGAGGCATGGGGACTTTTCTACGCATTTTCGGAAAAACTAATGGGTTTAGTGAAAAACTGCTCTTAGATAATTAAAAGAAAAATGTCTCGTCTTTCCGATGATGCAATTAGTTTTGTGCTAGCTCCAACAGAGTTTGTTCTACAGCGCTTCAAAAATCGCCCATTTACATGGGACTCAAACGGGGCTTCAAGACTTGCCCCCAGATGACGTCACAAGCTGACGTCACGATCAGGTAGAATCGCCGGACGACCCTACCTGGTTTATAGGGCCTTGACCGGGGCCCTGGCTTTGGGCGCGGTCTACCGCACCACCTAACAGGCGTGTTCGAAACCGCAGATGATGATGAACGGGTTTATCGAAACTTGATTGGATGAGCATATCGGTAATAGCGATTTCAGTGTGTGCATTTATTGTTCATAGTGGTGTGAAATGTGGTTGGGGTACGACCGACAACCCGTCTGGGCGAATTTCGCACTGGGGTACTCAAATTTTGAAGAATTTAAGACGTTTCCATGAGTTTTGAAGGTATGGATAAGTTCTAAAAATCCGTTTCTCCTTATCTGGGCCATTAACTCCATACGGTCCAGGAAAGCTGGCACACTACCTTTAAAGGAAGACTGCCACCTTCAAAAAGTTTTCTCAGATCGGCCTATGATTTATTCCCTGGACAAAACAAAATTTTAGAATTCACCTGACAAAGTATCATCACGTGAATCGCGAAAAAAATTGTCGGTTTTCATACAATTATCAATCGGTTAATGTCTAGCGACAATGTTTACACATCACTAGACTTCAAGGTCATAAGATTATTACATTTTATTTGAAAAAGTAAGGTATTTTATAATTTACTAATATATGATTTCATGAGAAATTGGCCATGTTTAATTTATTTTGCATTTAAGTTCGTAAAACATTAAAAAAATCATGGCTCATTTGGAATGGGTCTGGCCCATGTTAAACCCCATTTCCCACACTTTTTTGGAAAAAATGAACTACTGAATATATAAGTTTAACTTTTATTTTGACACTCCAAAATTCTTCTCTGATCTCGAAACAATCAAAGTTTTGGCATATATTTACCAAGAGATAAGAAAATTCATGTTTCAAAGTTATCGATAAACAGTAGAGATGTCGGTTTTCTTGGACTAAAAAAATGGCATCAAACTGAACATTGGTCTCCGATTTCTCGCAAACGGGTTCAAATTTCGGAAAACCGACTTCAGTCTGGGACATAGGTGGCTCAGCTCTAGTGAAAACCGTTTTGTGGAAAAAAGGTGGCAGTCTACCTTTAACCCTCGCCCTGGCAGGGGGGGGGGGGGTCGATGCGACCCCCCCTAAGGTTTTTCGAAGATAGCGTAAAAACGGCGCCGCGCAGCGCCGCCAAATTTGGCACAGCCTATGGGGCAACCTTTTTACATATGACCTGAAAATTTTAGGTCCGGGTGACCTTGGGTCAGGTCACCAGGTCAGAAAAACCGGTACAAGGTCATGGTCAAATTTCAATTTTCTTTTTGCACCTGTCCAACTCACAGTTTTCGACTGATTTCCTTCAAACTTCCAGGATGTGCTAAGTTCACCGAGTTGTATAACATATAGTCCGGCTTTTTTGAGGTCACTGACCTGAGGTCAGTTAGAGGTCATTACGTCGTAATGTTGAGCCTATGGGAAAATACTAAATTCGGAAAA